AGTGAGTTCGGTTCCGTACGGATGTCCCAAATGCCCATCTGATACCCGGCCATCATAGCCGCGCCCAATGATATCGTGTCGCATATGTTGGGCCTCACGAACAGTTGGCCGGTTATGTCGGCCAGGGTTTGGCACAACGCGTTGTTATACGACATAACGCCGTCTATTTTGATGCCATTGCTGTCGGACCTCATGAGGGATAATATGTCATTGGCCTGGAAGGCGATGCTCTCGACGGTGGCCCGGATTAGGTGTGATTTGCGACTGAATTGCGTGAAACCCAATATAATTCCCGTGGCGTTGGAGTCCCAGTGCGGGGCATACAGTCCTATGGGAGCGAGAGATATACGGGATTAATATTTCTGATATTATTTTAATGATTTGAATTAAATGAATGAATTTTTCTCTAATTGCTTTTTATTAACGCTATATTTGATGAATAATTTAAAGATAAAATTTTTATTACACTACTATTTTAGTAATAGTAATACAATTTTCCGTTACTGTCAGTCAATACTAGTAACTAATTTGCAAGTTTCAAGGGTGTTTTAGTAGATTACACGAATTAGTGGTATTTTAAATTTCATGATCAAAATTTCAGACCAAGTTTGTATTACAAGCTATACAGAAATAAAATATTATATTATACTTATTTTAATTCCTAGTCTAAACATATGCCACTAATGATCAAATGAAATAACTAATTTTGATATGATATAACCAATATCTAATCAATATTTTAAATGCACGAAAAATTGACATATAATTTATATTATAATTTACTAGAACTGTATAATATTAAAATTTGCATTTTTATTATACTTTGAACATTTGGACTTATAGTCCAAAACTACAAGCATTTAAAAAACTCAACCAAAATACTCCAAGACTTTTCAAATTTATGGATTAATTTTATTTAAAAACGATGCATACCTTGAAAGGCGGGCACAAAGTAGACGCCCCCACAGTTCTCCTCCATTTGTGCTATACTTTCCACATCTCCGTAGTGTTTGATTACTTCAAGATTATCCCGAAGCCAAGNGTATATTTGCAATTATGATAATATGTTGAGTGAACATAATCTCTAATTGTGTGACACCGGTCACCAGATCCCTTTCTTTTTGGCCGTTACTCCGATCGTTGATAGAGAACAGGGCCGACAGAGTGAGGGTCAGAGTATAGGCGCATCCGATTAGGAAACCCGGAATAAATAGATTACTAAACGAGTAGTCAGTGTCGCCATTGGTGTGAATGTCAATCGGGAGGGAAAGGGCGCGGGGATTGTGTTGAGTGTCCGGCACTAGAGTTGTCAAAAAGTCACGGAAAGTCTGCCAAAGATAGTGTTGAGCGTAGTATCCAATGATATTAGACATGTCGGCGTACACCCGGATCTGACTGCTGTCCAGTTCCTCATCGGTCACGTCAATGGGATACAGGAGCCGATTGTGAAGACTTTCTGAATAGTTGTGCCCAAACACCAGTGACATGACATTGTGGCCGTCCCTCACACTCTGATACGCCGTCTCATTAGACGCGTGCAAATCGTAATCAAATAGACTGTCATTAATGGCTGTAATAAACTTGAGGGACAGGTCTGGCGTCTCTTCGGCCGTATATATAGCTATCGGTATTTTGTTGGGACTTCTGAAGCATACGTTCAGTCCGTATATCAATAGTAAGGGAAACAAATGGTAGAGAAATAAAACCATTGGATTGTGTTGTAAACGGAGATAATTTTTCCAGATTAAAGTCATTATGCGATTAAAGTTGAGATCAATTTTAAACATTTTCTCATTGTTTCCATTGATATTCAGTTTACCGGATGTTTGTATGGAAAGCAATTCATTTGTGTTTTGAGTTTTATTTGACTCGAGACACAACTGGAGGTATACCTCTTCGAGTTTGTGGCACTGGTAGTCAGTAATCAACTGTTGGGGCGACGATTGCTTAAGACATTTACCCCGGTATACAAAGGCCACACTATTGGCACTGTTAGCCTCCTCGATGTAATGTGTTGTGATCATTACTGTCAACTCTATTGGCACCCAAACCCACAAATATTAAAAACTTTTTAAATTAATATAATAAATTAATTTAAAAAAATAATTACCATTTAGTTTGCACTGACTTTCGAGATAATGCCAAATACGGGCCCTGAGTATTGAATCCAAGCCCACAGTGGGCTCGTCGAGCACCAGTAGCCACGGCTTATGGATTATTGTGACGGCAATGGATACCAGTCTCTGTTGTCCACCACTTAATTCACTGATGAATAGGTCTTTTTGTGGCAAATCTAATAAATCCATAAACTCTTCAATCCGTGTCTCAATTAATTGAGTTTTCATTTCATATATCATCGCATAATAGAAGAGAATCTGTTTTATGGTTAGATCCGCGTAGAGAGCGATGTCTTGAGGCATATACCCGACCCGTGGACCCGGAATACCGGAGCGTTTAGCGCCGGGCTGTTCACCAAACACATGGATTGTGCCGTAAGTGGGCTTAAGTACGCCTAAAATGAGTCGCGACAGAGTTGTTTTGCCGCAACCATTGCATCCCAAAAGTGCAAAGATTTTGCCTACAATTCAATCATTTTATTACATAAATTATTAAGTTTATTTAGTATGTGGGTCAATTAATTGATATTATAACAAAATTATTATAAAAGTATTCCATTTATAATAGTCAGCTATTTTGAATGAGCTACTTACTTTAACTATATATATTATTTACAGTTTATTACATAGAGTAAATTAATCTAATATTACATAAGGCTTATAACAACTGTACACAATTGATACAAAATATTAACAAACAAACCTTTATTTACTTTAATGTTAATCCCATTCAGAATATTCTGCTTTTGATTGTAACTGAAAGACACATTTTTTACATCAATAGCGTATGTTTGACTTTCAGTTATCTTATTATCCATTTAAGTATAACTTATTTAAAATAAATATTATATTTAAAAAATAATCATTAATTTATATTATTAATGTTAATAATTAATTAAATATGACTATAGAATAAATATAAGTTTGGCATCACTTTGCTTTCTGAACACTTCAGATATGAACACAAATATAAATGTTTAAAGTGAAGCCAACCATCCTCTCACTCATCTCACATCCATTGCCACAAAACATCCGTTTCTCTCATTAATGTAAAACTTGTTTTTTACTGGACTTTCCTTGAAATTAATTTAGTTACAGGCATAGGAGAAAGTCATCTAGTTTTTCAGTGTTTTTACAATTAATTTCATTGTAAAATCATTGAACTTCTAGTGAATATTAATTATATTTGGAAATTTTGGAAACTTTATAAACATATTTACATTTTTATTTTAAAAAGATATGTCTAATTTATAAAGTATATACTGGTAAGCACCAGTAAATATCTGTAGTCTTGAACTTTACTGAATTATTATAAAATATTTGTTTATAATAAAATAAATAATCAACATAAAGTTTATAATTAATATAAACATTATATCCAGATATATAAAAATCCAATTAATTCCAGTTAATAGTAATAATAAAACATTAAGAATACTGTAGTTTTAATTAAACGTTTTGTTTACTGTATATACAAATAACTGAAAATAATATACAATTCAACCTAAATTCATATAAACATATTAACACAAATTTTCGTAATCAAAAAACATATAAATTACAGTTAAATAAAAAAAATATTTCCAACAAATTGAACGTAAAAAATATTAAATAAAAAATATATAAATGGTAGACAACTAGACATCCCATCACCAGAAGCCCATGGACTGGTGCACAAAGACTTGTTGGCAATACTGACTGAATATATGAGTGCCAAATGAGACCAACACAAAGGCCATGAACGGCAAAGTGGACAGCCGTTGGTAGTCCTCCTGTTTGCGCTCCAGGCGCTCAATGCGCGTCCACTTCTGACTCCTCTGGACGGCCGACCGCCACATATCGATCTTCG